TTACATAATTGTCAACTGTCTACATTAAGATATGCAATCTGTAATGGCCATATGTTATATTATTGTCAACTGTTTACATTAAGATATGCAATCTATAATGACCATATGTTATATTATTGTCAACTGTTTACATTAAGTCACGCAATCTGTAATGGCCATATGTTATATTATTGTCAACTGTTTACATTAAGTCACGCAATCTATAATGACCATATGTTATATTATTGTCAACTGTTTACATTAAGTCACGCAATCTATAATGACCATATGTTATATTATTGTCAACTGTTTACATTAAGATATGCAATCTGTAATGACCATATGTTATATTATTGTCAACTGTTTACATTAAGTCACGCAATCTATAATGACCATATGTTATATCACTGTCAACTGTTTACATTAAGATATGCAATCTATAATGACCATATGTTATATTATTGTCAACTGTTTACATTAAGATATGCAATCTATAATGACCATATGTTATATTATTGTCAACTGTTTACATTAAGATATGCAATCTATAATGACCATATGTTATATTATTGTCAACTGTTTACATTAAGATATGCAATCTGTAATGACCATATGTTATATTATTGTCAACTGTTTACATTAAGTCACGCAATCTGTTATGACCATATGTTATATTATTGTCAACTGTTTACATTAAGATATGCAATCTGTAATGACCATATGTTATATTATTGTCAACTGTTTACATTAAGATATGCAATCTATAATGACCATATGTTATATTATTGTCAACTGTTTACATTAAGATATGCAATCTACAATGACCATATGTTATATTATTGTCAACTGTTTACATTAAGTCACGCAATCTGTTATGACCATATGTTATATTATTGTCAACTGTTTACATTAAGATATGCAATCTGTAATGACCATATGTTATATTATTGTCAACTGTTTACATTAAGATATGCAATCTGTAATGACCATATGTTATATTATTGTCAACTGTTTACATTAAGATATGCAATCTGTAATGACCATATGTTATATTATTGTCAACTGTTTACATTAAGATATGCAATCTATAATGACCATATGTTATATTATTGTCAACTGTTTACATTAAGTCACGCAATCTATAATGACCATATGTTATATTATTGTCAACTGTTTACATTAAGATATGCAATCTATAATGACCATATGTTATATTATTGTCAACTGTTTACATGAAGTCACGCAATCTATAATGACCATATGTTATATTATTGTCAACTGTTTACATTAAGATATGCAATCTATAATGACCATATGTTATATTATTGTCAACTGTTTACATTAAGATATGCAATCTATAATGACCATATGTTATATTATTGTCAACTGTTTACATTAAGATATGCAATCTGCAATGACCATATGTTATATTATTGTCAACTGTTTACATTAAGATATGCAATCTATAATGACCATATGTTATATTATTGTCAACTGTTTACATTAAGATATGCAATCTATAATGACCATATGTTATATTATTGTCAACTGTTTACATTAAGATATGCAATCTGCAATGACCATATGTTATATTATTGTCAACTGTTTACATTAAGATATGCAATCTATAATGACCATATGTTACATAATTGTCAACTGTCTACATTAAGATATGCAATCTGTAATGGCCATATGTTATATTATTGTCAACTGTTTACATTAAGATATGCAATCTATAATGACCATATGTTATATTATTGTCAACTGTTTACATTAAGTCACGCAATCTGTAATGGCCATATGTTATATTATTGTCAACTGTTTACATTAAGTCACGCAATCTATAATGACCATATGTTATATTATTGTCAACTGTTTACATTAAGTCACGCAATCTATAATGACCATATGTTATATTATTGTCAACTGTTTACATTAAGATATGCAATCTATAATGACCATATGTTATATTATTGTCAACTGTTAACATTAAGATATGCAATCTATAATGACCATATGTTATATTATTGTCAACTGTTTACATTAAGATATGCAATCTATAATGACCATATGTTATATTATTGTCAACTGTTTACATTAAGATATGCAATCTGTAATGACCATATGTTATATCATTGTCAACTGTCTACATTAAGATATGCAATCTATAATGACCATATGTTATATCATTGTCAACTGTTTACATTAAGATATGCAATCTATAATGACCACATGTTATATTATTGTCAACTGTTTACATTAAGATATGCAATCTATAATGACCATATGTTATATCATTGTCAACTGTCTAACGATTTCAACATTTAATATAAACACAAAGGTGGCAAAGATTTAGCACACATTGACATCTATTTGGTTCGATATCTGGTTAGTTTGTTCTAACATGATATATAACAGTGAAACAGACCATATTACTTGCTAAAGGACGATGGACGTTTGTAATCCATTCTTGTTCCCAAACTTCTTCTACAGTGGAATGAATATATGATTGGTTGGTTGGTTGGTTTGTTGTTTAACGCCGCACTTAGCAATATTCCAGCTATATGACGGCGGTCTGTAAGTAATCGATTCTGGACCAGACAATCCAGTGAATATATGAACAGTATGTACATGCTCACTCTGTTATTACCATCAGAATTCACTTAATACAATATGTTTCTGTATAAATTGTCACAGCAAAATAATAACCAGTCTTGATTATTCACCGAAACATACTTTTACTGGCGTCAAGGGCATCAATCAGTGATGACACCATGTGTTCACGACAAGACTAAGCATGTGCTGCCCTACCAGTAGCACTCACCATGAACATTGTGTGCATAAGTGCCTGACACCGCACAGCAGTACTCCTGTCATGCGATGGCAGCATGTAAACAAACCAGACAATCAAGTGATCGATGAACAAGATAATCCAGTGACAGGATAGTGCATTTACTGTTTTTGTTGAAACTGATAAAAACGATACGTTAATTTTAAATTACTTCGGGGCCCTTTACATGAACAGACTTATCAGGTAAAGAAAGAAAGCAACGGTTTCTGCTACAAAATGCCATTCTGACTTTGATACAAAGGGGCCATAGCCATCGTCACGCCCTCACATGACTCAACACATGAACTTGTGTCAACATGATGCTGTGTCCTCCTCATGTGACACAGGGAGACACACACACGATGTCCAGCTGAACAATAGCTGCACTAATGTATCTGAATCGGCTTAGATTTCAATACGGAGGAAACAATAATAGTGTTTTTATAATGATAATGATCCGTTCATGTTATCAAGAATAAGAGCGCCTTCCTGCTGACACCATATGTTCTTTCCTTGAAACAAAATGTACAAGTAAATAACAGAAAACATATACATGGATACATTTATTCTGTATGTATGATTCCATTGCAAGATTGTAAGAGTCTATATAGTTAAGTATATGTAAGCACCATACACTGCAAGAAGGAATTACTGACTTGTCTGTACTGTACATAGGGTCAAGATTCTCCATACCTGTGCCATACCTGTGACTGCATTGGTTTCCTGGCAAGTCAGACCACACACTGGTGACTGTCAACTGCTGTGCCATGTACATTGAGGAAATAGTTTCAATCAGGTAAAATCTGGCGTTTATCGAGGTCCATATCAGCACTATTTTCCTTGACTATCCACAGAAATTCGGATCATTGCCACAAGCCGAAGGACAATGGAAGTCCATCTGCTTGTACGGTATGTTTTACAAGATCGACAGGGATACAACGAACCGTTTCTACATAGTTGTTTGATGTAGCGCAAACTATGTGAGATAATAGACATGACTCTGAGAAAGACAGGTATTTACTGAAACGGAAACTGGTACACTCATACATGTTGATAAGTCTGTAGACTTTGTTTAGAATACTTTAGAATGAAAAGTTACTGTGAGTCCTCCCTTGGTGACAGATATGTCACAACTGTTGTCGGGTCATCAACAAACACATCCCGTATTGCTCGAATGTATGATGAGTGGCCTTCAGCAGAAGCCCCGGATGTAGCATCCTTTTCATCTTCGACACCACTGGACACTGGGAAGTACTCACCAAGAGCAGGTGTGGCTAGTTCGGTCTCCTCTTCGTCCCCTAAATCACTGGATACTGGAAAGTACTCAACAAGAGTGGGTGTGGCTTGTTCGCTCTCCTCTCTGTCCCCTTCATCACTGGACACTGGGAAGTTCTCACCAAGAGTGGGTGTGGCTAGTTCGCTCTTGCCTCTGTCCCCTAAATCACTGGACACTGGGATGTACTCACCAAGAGTGGGTGTGGCTTGTTCGCTCTCCTCCTCCGCCCCCTTCTTCTTTTCTTTCTTTTCCCTCTTCTCCTTCTCCTCCTCCACCATGTTGTTTGGGTTGTTTGGGTTTCTCCCGGGAAGCTCTGGGTCCACATCATCATCATGTATTTCATAGTACCTGTGTATCACCTGGTAGTCATGTGTAGGCACCTGTCCAGCATCAGTGACCATCCCAGTTTCCAGTTGGTTTCTCCCGGGAAACTCCGGGTCCATGTCTTCGTCGTGTAGTTCATAGTATCTGTGTAGACCCTGGTACTCCAGTGTAGGCAGTGACACCTGTCCACTAGCATTGACCATCACAGCTTCCAGTGGACGACGCCTGTATAAACAGTATTATTGTAAATACAAACAAGGCTTTGGGCGATATCAAACATGTATACACTACAGATAGTACCTTTCTGTGTTATGTGACACGCCACATGGCAGCGTGCATTCTCGTTTGTGTGTTCTGTTGTATTACGAGAAGAAGATTTGTGCATGTACAAAGTTCGATAATCAGTGCCTTGAGTGTAAATGGTACAGCTATTCAGCTTCAGAGGTAGAGAGATTATGATGTCATTTGAGCATTGTGATGCAAATTCATTGTAGATAAGATATCAATTGATCCTACCAAGCGATATCTCCAGTGGAAGCCAGTTTCAGTTTATTTCATTTGCGTTGGTACGATCGCGTTGGTGTTTAACTTTTAGTATAATTTGCTGTTCAGTGAACGTTCAGTGATTATTGTTGGACTCTGTAACCTCAATGTTGAATTGTACAGATTGAAGAATACAAATACTGACCTTTGTGCAGCAACGCGTTTGCGGTAACGCACACACTGTCTCAACGCTATACAAAACACAATTGCTGCAAGGATTCCAATAATGATACCAAGGATTCTGATAATGATACCATTTGTCTTCGGAGCTTTGGAAAGCATAAAATGAAAGGATAAATGTAATAAATATGTGTCGATGGACATCAGTAATATCATATACACATCTTGAATGCATGATAATCAAATTCAGTATCAATACACAGTAACAACATGTGTGAATGTTTATAAAAGTATTTTAGTCTGGCCACATGCATTCGGAAGGGGCAACATGAAACGGGTCAAAACAGAAACAACATGCTGGTTACATATCAAATCATACATAAGGCATACATTAACACAACAAAACAAAGGAACCTCAGCATGGCAACATAACATCGCTTAAAAATGCTACCTGCTTTCATTTTAAATGGACAGTGGATGTCATACAAGTCATTATAATGGATACATGACAATTAGCTTACCTGTGTTACAAGGAGCAGTTTGACGGCATTCCTCTATGGAGCAGTTGCCTGTACAGGAGGGATCACACCCGCTGATAGTGCACCCCTTGATGCATGTTCCAGTCTTCTGATGACACACCCCGTCACGACACACTGCACACGTCTGGTCACACACTTCCCCATACCAGCCCTGGCTGCATCCATGTGTACAGGATCCGGTGTTTGAGTAACAGGTGTGATTGAGGCACGTCTCAGAACACGGTGTACAGTTTTTCCCGAAATATCCAATCTTACATCCTTCAACACAGGCACCTGTCAGGTCGCACCTGTGGTTCAAACAGTTAGCGTCACATCGAGATGAACACGTGGGTCCGTACCATCCATCTTCACAACCACGTGTACACTCGCCGCTCTGGTTGTGAGAAGTCGGTGTACAAAAGTTGACTGTATCCTTATCACTGCAATTCAGTGGACATGTGTCAATAATTGACATACAATTATCACTGCATGGCTCAATGCAAAACATTTCGTAAAATATTGATGAACACTCCTTCAAGCATTCACTGTCACAACTTCCTGAACAGTGTGCGCAGGGATGTTCACAGTCCCGACCAACGTATGGAGGGTGACACTCCTCACATGTTCCTGTGACCCTGTTGCAGGATCTACATCTGCTGGAGCAAGGTCGACAGCCAGAACCGTAGTAGGAGTCAACACATCCAGACACACAGGTGGAGTTCAGCTTGCAGTATTTCTCCTCACACCCACCAGGACATTCTGTACAATTATCAACGGGAGGATCACATGGTATGATGCAGTTTGTGCCTTGGAAACCAGTAACACAGCCTTCAGAACATCGCTCAATCCCCCCATCTGTGATTTCACACGTGTTATGTCGACAACCGTCGCTGCACTTGATACTGCACCGTTTGTCCCAATAGCCAGGGTAACACTTGAGACATTGCCCAGTCTTCTCGTCACACTCTGCACAGTGCTGAATATCAGTGCAGTTGGCAGCTGGAAGAAAATAACTTCTCCTTTATAGTGTATTCCAGAGCACACAATGGTGTTCAAATACATCTAAACTACAGGTTCATGTGAATGATGAACCCCAAGTCTGGCACCCTATATCATACCTGTGTAGATATTCCCACTGACAATACATCTCACAGCATATTCCTGCTCTGCGTGTATCACTATATTAATTGTTTGATCCAAGAACTTGTACTAGTGTCAAATCACATAATGCCACATACAGGGACATTATCTTAAGTGAGGAAGAAATCTGCCAAAACAAGGCATCAGCACCATTAACTTTTGGCTTGACTCTAACACCTGAAGACATATACATTCCGCTTTTGTAGTGGATTCCAAAGATCCATTAACATCCACATGTACATTGTATATATATATATGGATCCAGCAAATGTACCACCAAATCCCTGTCTCACAGATTAACCATAAGCCTTGATAGAATAAAGGATGGACTTTGCCTTGTACTGCATATGTACTATATCTGTTTTTCAGGTGAACATTTGACTTGTCTTTGCCTGTGTTTGTGACGAGTGGCACCGGAGGGCCAGGATACGCTCATGTTCAAGAACACATCCGGTTTCATTAAAGCGTTATGGTGATTTCTTGTGATTATGAAAATGGGTTCTTCGCTTATTTTTTGTTTATAATCCAGGCTGAACCTTCTCGACCACGACAGTGAAGGTAAAACCAATACATACGCTGTAGAAATATTCACGAATACACTGTATAGCAACGTAATTCTGATTTACCTTGTGTTCCAGTAACCATACAAGCAAAGGCTAGGTACATAAAGGGAACCATTTGGTGTCTGAAACATAAAGAAGTATATACATACACAAACTCAACATGATACTGGCGATACGGGATCGTTTGTTGGTCGTGTGTACAGATGTTCTATAACTAAATGAATCCCTTATAGACTATTACAATCAATCAACCATCGCTTTGTCACTTCATTGGAATCTTGATGGCATACATGTACTTTTACACATGACATATCCATGAAATACCTTTACACATGACATATGCATGATATACATTTACACATGACATATGCATGATATACCTTTAAAGATCACATATGCATGATATACCTTTACCCATGACATATGCATCATGTACCTTTACACATGACATATGCATCTTATAACTTTACCCATGACATATGCATGATATACCTTTACACATAACATATGCATGATATACCTTTAAAGATCACATATGCATGATATACCTTTACCCATGACATATGCATCATGTACCTTTACACATGACATATGCATCATATAACTTTACCCATAACATATGCAAGATATACCTTTACGTATGAAATATGCATGATATACCTTTACACATGACATATGCATGATATACCTTTACCCATGAAATATGCATGATATACCTTTACCCATGACATATCCATGATATACCTTTACACATGGCATATGCATGATATACCTTTACACGTGACATATGCATGAGATACCTTTACACATGACATATGCATGATATACCCTTACACATGAAATATGCATGATATACCTTTACCCATGGCATATGCATGATATACCTTTACACATGACATATGCACGATATACCTTTACCCATGAAATATGTATGACATACCTCTACACATGACATATGCATGATATACATTACCAATAACATATATGCATGAGATACCTTTACACATGACATATCCATGATATACCTTTACCAATAACATATGCATGTTATACCTTGACACATGACATATGCATGGTATACCTTGACACATGACATATGCATGCAATACATTACCCATAACATACATGCATGACATACCTTTACACATGACATATGCATGATATACCTTTACACATGACATATGCATGATATACCTTTACACATGGCATATGCATGATATACCTTTACCCATGACATATGCATGATATACCTTTACCAATGACATATGCATGATATAGCTTTACACATGGCATATGCATGATATACCTTTACCCATGGCATATGCATGATAAACCTTTACCCATGACATATGCATGATATACCTTGACATATGACATATGCATGATATACCTTGACACATGACATATGCATGATAAACCTTTACACATGACATATGCGTGATATACCTTTTCACATGACATATGCATGAAATGTCTTTACACATGACATATGCATGATTAACCTTTACACATGACATATGCGTGATATACCTTTTCACATGACATATGCATGAAATGTCTTTACACATGACAAAAGCATTACATATCACAGATCATCACACATGAGATACACATGACAGACCGGCACACATGACACAGACATGACAGACCTTCACACATGACACAGACATGAAATAACTTTGCACATGACACACATACGACATATCTTTATACAAGACACACACATGACATACCTTTACAGCACACGTATGACAGACCTTTACACATGATATACGCATGACTAACCCTTGCACATGACACTCACATGACAGATCTTTATACATGACACAAGCATGACATACCTTTACACACGACAGGGACCTTGCACATGACCCATGTATGACACACATTTACACATAACACACACATAACATACCTTTACAAATGACATACATTTTAAAACGTGACATACACATTACATACTTTTACACATGATACACGCATGACAGACCTTTACACATAACGTACGTATGACATATGTTTACAACGACATACCTTTACAGATTAATACATGACATACACATGACACAGACATGACAGACCTTCACACATGACACACACATGACATACCTTTACACATGACACACACATGACATACCTTTACACATGACACACGCATGAAATACCTTTACACATTTTACCTGCATGACATACCTTCACACGTGACACATACATGGCATACCTCTACACATGACACATACATGACATACCTTTACACATGACACACGCATGACACACCCTACCCATGACACACACATGACATACCTTTACACATGACACACACATGACATACCTTTACACATGACACACACATGACATACCTTTACACATGACACACGCATGAGATACCTTTACACATTTTACCTGCATGACATACCTTCACACATGACACATACATGACATACCTTCACACATGATACACGTATGACACACCTTCACACATGACACACACATGACATACCTTTACACATGACACACGCATGAGATACCTTCACATATGATACAAATGTGACATACCTTCACACGTAACACAGACATGACAGACCTTTACACATGACATACCTTGGCACTAGTATCAGGAGCGAGAGCTAGCTACAATGAGAGGTACGTGATAAAAACTACCTTCTGACTGAGTTCAGAATCCCGTTAACTGTGCTTCACGTGGACCCCCAGTGTCATTGTATGAGCCATTGTTATTGTATGATAGATGCAGTTCCTGCTCAGTGTGAGTCACAGGTTTCGCTCGCGACTGCCACCTTTCTGTTTCCTGGCTGCACCACAGCCGTAAAAATAAAACATGTAATGCGTGAATATCACGTGTGGAAGCAGGAAGCTTTCAGAGAAATGTTGCTGGCCTTGTTACTTCTACTTTGGTAATTTGGAAGTTGATATATTCAACTCAACGTCAACTCATAACCCTCAAGTAAATAGTGTTGTGTGGTGGTTTGTGTCGGTTGGTGTCTCCCACTGAGTGACAGCTTATTCAATTTAAATCCAGGATTGCATGTTATTATTTTTCTTTATTTGCGATTACTAAAAGGACTGAATTAAACATAGTTAATTAAATAAAGCGACAAAACTCTTAACATTGCCAATAGAAATCTCTGCATAAACCGAATCGATTGTACGATTCTGAGCATACCATGAGCATGTGTTAATGAATCATGGGATATACCATGTTTCCTTGTTTGATCAGGTGCATACTTGACTTGCATCTGCATGTGTTTGTGATATGAACCGTTGGTAGGGCAGGATACCCTCAACTTTTCGCGAACACCAGGTCACACATAACTATTTAAAAGTGATTCATTGACGTGAGTCTCAAGTAGTCGGAATCCCACAATGGATTGTGCTTTTAGCGAAGATTTCGTATGATTATGGAAAGGGTTTGATTGCTTGTGTTTATAAGACTACTGTCTGTTTGCACGCTTTCTCTGATAATATATTGTTCTTTCGCGTTGCCTTTTATGCTTTTGGGAATCTGTTTCGGAGGATAATCTGGAGCGGTTATTTTCTGACGATGATTTTAAATATTTCTAGATTATATGTGAGTGGAAGGGAATTGCGTATCTGACCATTATCGAATGATATCAGATCATCGATATACCGGAGGCTTAAGTTGAAATTCTTGGCCAAATCCCCTCGTTTTTCTTATACGTTTGCACATAGAAATGGATCAGCGAATAATGCAGCAAAGTTGTGCCCATGGAAAAACTTTAAAATATAAAATATCTGTGGTCACCACATTTAGTAACAAATGCCCGTTAATTGAAGAATTCCGGACTATCCTTACGTTTCAGAGATTGTACAAATACAAGTCAAACCTTTGAGTTTTTGAGGTTCCACATGGTGTTAATTCCACTCAGATAGTTTCTGTTAATATAAAACAAATCCTTTTTTGTTGGTATTAATGATTAAGGTGAACCTTTGACACAGGGATTTCGTGATATATTTCCTGGATGCAGCAATATATCTCTTTGTGGAGATTTTTGTGGAGCTTTGGAACCGAGCACCAAGGAGTAATGGACAGGTCTTCAGGTTTTAGAGTCAAGCGAAAAGTTACTAATACTGATGTGTGGTGTTGGCACATGTCTTCCTCCACGTTCTGGTCTTAAGAATGTGTCACTTTTTCATATATTACTTATACCAAGTTCTTTCATAACACAATTACAATATGTGGACGTCTGTGGTAGACAATAGTTTCTGTGTATTTTGATAATGTTTGATTAATTACCTGCTTTACTTCATAATAATGTTCTTATGGGCATTTCAGGTAAACAAACATCTATTGAACTTATTTCAGATTTATTAAGCGGTTATTTTCATTGATTTACATACAATTGGATTTGTCATTTCAGGCTGCGTTAGGTACTTTAGGTGTCGTGAGTTGGGCGTCATCAGTAAATCCCCAGTCTTTTGTTCACCTCACGGGGTGTGTCAACTGCAACGTAGGGTGGACAGATATATCTTGGTTGATCAATCAAAGTTGAAGCTTAGGTATTTGCCTATTTGGGTTTAAAATGTTAGTGTCCTCCTTATATGTCTTGTATTTCACTCCCGCTTCATCCTTCACTGCAAAGGATACACTACCAGCAATTAAAAGGTTAGTATTCAAAGTTATTATTGTGGTGTATACATGCCAGTATGATATATAAACCATTGAAAATAAATAAATACCTTTATGATATACCTATCAATGATATGAGGCATTTTGCATGCGCGTTAGAGCCAACATGGAGACGGTCATATCACAGGAGGTGTAATAACCAGACCCGTATTAAACCCCCTGCCGGGCTGATCTGGCTTATCAATGCATTTTGAATGGACCAGCGATATCAGCCTTGGTGATAAAATAATTCGAGATACGTCCCTTCGTGTGTCGCCTGCTCGTCTGCTCAGCGAGCCTTCCCTTGACGATGACATCCAAACAAGGTGAAAATGTTTTGCATTCACTTGCAGATAGATAGAATCATTTTACAATTTGATGTGGTATATGATAAAGAGGTCATGATATGTTAGTTGTCATATCATACCCCATATCAACCCTCGACCCCCATATCAGCATACCCTCGCGTTCATATGGGCTTGGTATGGTGTATGATATGAAAACTGCCTATATAAACCTCCAAATATCCCATTAATAGTACTTTACA